GTTGATTTCATCTATTTCTCACAAAAGCGGCCGTTTAACTAATTTAACTAAAACATTAATTTAAAAAAGTACCCAAAACCGAAAAGATCTAATAAAAGCGAGTAATTTCACTTTGGCTTCCTAACGTGTAACTAACGATAATTAAACATATTGCCAGGTAGAAAATTAGCTTTGCGCAAATTCTATGGTCGTAAAGTAAACAGCATCCGCATAATAAATGAAACACAAATTATATTAACCTCTAAAAGCTAATGAATTTATTACAAAAGAAATTAGCGCAAAAAGTTTTAACGTCCCATGTAATAATAGAGTGCACAGGGTTAAGCTGGCGGCTTTAATAGCAAAGGAGGGTGGCAACAATGCCGGTCTGAGCTTTGTCTTGTTGAAAAGAAAGTCGGAAGTGGAAAAATCGCAAGCAGCTTGCGCCATATATCAAGTGAGGAAAGGATATTGCGGTTGAGTTGAAAAAATTAGCAGCTTTATTATCACAGTCACCTTTGAACAGATTTATTACAGAGAGGAAGTAAATCCTGTTTCGTAATATTTTCTGTTGCATTTGAAGGGCAATATACAAGCTATTTTTATGATTAGCAACTAAAAATAGCAYATWTATACTAAGCCGGACAAGCTAAAGTGCAATCGCATTTTGACACAAAAAATGTTGCTGGGTAAGAAAGATGTTCTACAAACTCTTTGCGGTAGATTGCAATGAAACTGGATATTAATTTACTTAATAAAAGTGAACTTCTTCACTTTCTTTACCAAGACGGAGCGACAACTGCGAGCCCAATCCATTAGCAAGTWGGCTCAATGAAATTAAAACCAGTTTACGCACTTTAAACGTTGACGGAAAATTGAAACTGATGAAACTTCAGTTGAAGAATTGGTAYCTGGGTTCAGAAAAAATGTTCAATTGTTTCAAAAGGTCTTTTACAACTGAACTACAAACAGAAATTTAGCAAACCAATTTATTGAGCAGCYGGTAAGCATTGTTCGTTCGAGATGTATAAATATTTCACTGACAATATTCCGAATCAAACAGATTTGAAATCCCCAGAACGGTTGTTAGATCTTGCATGATCATCTCAGTCTCAGCCAGTAAATTCATCAAGAAGACGGTCTAAGATATACCGGAAGCCAATAGATATAACGAACAGCCTGAAAATTGAGGTTAATTTGAACTTTATAGAGTATTATAACTTTTAATAGGTTCCCTCGCAAATAGTTTAATTCAAAGACTTCAAACGCCAAAATAAATTAAACCAGTTGACCGATGTTATAAGGCGCAGTATTTTTGACGTACATATTTACTAAAGTAATTCTGAGCAATTACAAGTTTGAACATTTTAAATTAACATTTTTAAATATATCTAGGCAAAGTTTGTAAAATGTACATTAAAGTTTTTACAACGCAGGTAATTCATAATTCGATGCATATAAAAGAAAACCCATTTGCAGTATAGTTGAAATTAAGCTGCAGCTGTTCATGTAATAGCAATTTAGAAGGAAATAATTGAAAAGGCGCTCTTCAAAACGTTTGATTCTTGTTGATAATTCGAGCAGCGCTTAAACTCGATTTAGTAGTCACTAGCGAGATTTAATGCTATGATCCGTTCCCAAAAAATTTTGCAATATTTTTTCATTTAGAATGTTAAATTAAATCATGGAAATTTCTACTATCGGAATTGGAAGTGTATACGTATCCACCATGCTGCCTAAGAAAACCGAACATAATTATTGTTCAACGACGACACTTTACGTGGTTCGGTTACAGGTCTGGAGGCGGCTTACCAGGATGGCGCAAATGTATCCACATTACTGAGTGCGAAAATATACTTTCCTCTGAAAAAAACATGTTCAAGGATCATCTATCAATAAATACCAATACATGATATCAAACTGCAACCTATAAAGTTTTACTTGCTCGTGGTGTTTGTTTTCCAAGCAAACCCACCTACGCTTAACATTATATTTCCATTATATTTTTTCACGAAACCCACATATTTTTCGCTGCCATTCCCTAGAGAATAAAATTAATTCTATTAGTTTGTGGTCTGTTGTTGCTTGCGTAACACTGCTGAAGGCGGTTCACCGACATATTAAAGAATAATGGATATTCCTGGGTGTCGAACTGATTTTTAATATGCGGGAGTGAACGCTTCATCAGAAATTTTAGTGTCTGGTATAAACAGTGTTAATTGCATCAGGAAAACAATAGAAAAATGTGAATGCAACTTTTAGTCTTTATTACAAATTTGATTCTGATTATTCGACCGTCTTCTAAATTATAAGACTGTTTACATTGTTTACTCAACGATCGTTTCCTCATTTCAGTTTCAACAGAACAGCTATAAAAATGTTCATTAAGTACCACTTAGTTACTCCGACTTGGCTAACCGATAACTCTACACAGACATTTTGAAACAGCAATATATAATAAATGTTATAAGTGCGAATTCCAACCGTTGAAAATGGTAATCATCAATTCATAAGTTCTGCATCAAAAAGATATTTCTTCTGTTTTCAACTTCTTCAAGTTGTAGTGTGAAAGCGGTTAACCAAATGTGAGCTTTTGCGGAGTGTATCAGATGACTGTCCATATTGATCTATTTAGAGTCTGACAAAAGATTTGTCATAACTTATACAAATAATTATTATATAACACCAACTACTTAGAGGATAATGCGTAAAATAAAAAAGAAAATATGATAAATTCTTTAATAATTAGGATCTCATTTATTAAAAGCTTCGGCATCCTGTTGTTTGGAGAATAAGTACGTAAGCTAGAAAGTATATTGGAGAAACTTTACACTTTTCGCACCGGCTAAAACAAACAAAAACCCATTTTAACTGACTCTTTACACATCCAAGATTCAAAGGGTACGGACCCTCTGAATCTTGCATAATGAAGTTCCCGTAAGAAAATGAAAATCCCCCTTTAAGTCAGGTTAGTGTGAACCGTCGGTAAACAGTCCCTACATTCTTTATCAACCTTCTCGACCCTTTGGGAAACAGGTAAATATTATGTAAGGATAAAGCGCAAAAAATACTGAAGAGTGACAAAGAAGTGTGCGGAAGGAAAACTTATTTTTTATTTTCGATGTTATACTGTTTTTTCGTATGCATACATCGTGTGCGCGTATATTTTTCTTGATCTGGCACCTTTCTAAGGCATCAGGCATCAAGTAAGAGCTTAAGCGGAAGCTACATTTCGACCGTTCAAACAACTTTATATATCAAAAAAATGTTTATTAACTTCAATATGTGTTATGAGGATCAAATATTTTTGTAGCAAACAAAACTTGTTTTGCGAGCTGAATTCGAGCAGGTTTGTGATAAAATTAAGTGATGGGATCACATATTTAGATGCAAATTATTAGCTTAGCACTCACCTATAACTTTCAGGTCAATAAATATACTGGTTGTGGGATGCAAGGACACTTGACACTCGTAAGTTCCAGCATCAGATATTTGGACATGTTTAATAACCAGGCCCCAGTTCTGCAAGTGGCGCACGTGTTCCACCAAAAAGCGATCGTCGGCAATGTAAGTGCCAAGCCCCACTGTCAGAATCGTGGGGGGCAAATCGTTTTTCCGGATCCAAGAGACCTGAAACAATGTTGGAGAGAGTGTTAACGACAATCAGTGACTAATGGCATGCGGATTCCACTAATCTATTATAGACCAACTGGTGATTTCCTATTCCTTTTGAGCCAAACCGAAGCGTTATTTTAACCAGTTTTGGGATTTTGATAATTTACATACTAGAAATTGTTACAAATCGATATGAAAATGACACTTTGATTCAACATTTAATAAAGGCTTGACTAATGTAATAGTTGGCATTGTTGGTAAAACAATTTGGTGCAGTTTTGCGTCTCAATGCTAAAATAAAACTCAAAATAGAGCAGATGCAGAACAATAATGACAACGTGACTTTTTTATTGTCAGCCGACGTTTCAACCCTTATTGAGATCTTCTTGAGGGCTAAAAGAGTACGCCCGAGAAAATTAAGCAATTTAAAGTTGTCCTTCACTATGTCCTACAATATTTCAAGTCTTCTGCAAGACCGTGAGCTCAATATTTTTTAGATTAAAATATCCTGCTCCGACAATCCTCTGCTCAGAGTTAGTTAGTAGATCAAATAATAATTGTTATTACTTTTGAATCGCACGTATATTCAACACAAATGGAAAACAACGATCGACCGTGCGTATTTTGGTGTAAACTGCGGAAAGGCAAAATGAAAAAATAAAGAATGAAAACTGTCAACCTTGTTTCCTCCTTAAATTGTGAAACTATTCTTTTTGCTCTTTTAGGCATGAAGAAGACCTGAATTAGGGCCAAAACGTCGGAAAATAATTAAAAAGTGACGTTGTCATTATTGTCCCACACTTGGATTATAAATTAATGTTCTCTATTGTTAGTAGTAAGTCTAATATTTCTCGACATTTCTGTCCATCTTCCAGAACTTTAAAATGCCATCGATGGAACTAATTTTGTTTCACTTTCTCCTTATTTTACTTTGTTGTATTGCTCGAATTCTTGCAGACAGAAAATTTCCATATGAAACCTTCAAAATAAATAAATGAAGTTTGGCTGTTAGCTAGAATTGAAACAACAAGCTGAGAGTGTAACTAGTCTCTTTACAAATGAAATATCTTGAATGTTCTGAAATATTTGAAACTCAAGACTATTTTACCAAAGATTGCTTTGAGTTGATTTTGACGGAAGCTGTAGCTTCTATACAACAGCGGATCCAAAAACCTAATTGATAAGACCAGACAATTATGCAGCTACATCGAATTGACAAGAAAAATGAACCTCAGCTGAGTGCTATAATAATGGTTATACCAATTAGTTGAACCAACGTGTATGATTGCCACCGATTCCTAAAAAATTGATATTGTCGACGCTTTGGAATTATTTATAAATTTAAGATTCGATTTTTGGAAGAAGTCGCGAATTCTACTAATAGTCGCTAATTTTGCTGATGACAATAGACCTGTTAATAAGTCGCATGAATTTTTGCTCGAAAGATGCTATTCTCAATAAGTGTTATAGAGTTGGACTCGATATTAAGCATACAAAGGTATTCGAAATGATTTTTAGCTATTGAATGGATCATTATGTTGTTCAACGCTCTAAACATGTTGCTAAAATTGTTAGATTAAGTTAATAGCAGAACCGGAGAGCAAAACTGAACTGAAAGTAATTGATTATTTAACCAGACTGATACTTCGACACCCAAAAAAGATTAACCGGGATTTGAAAGTACCCTCAATTAATAATAGTTTTCAGAGCAAAACATAGCGTTGTTGCAAAACAAAGTTGTGACAAAACGAAGGAATTGACCAAATCGTGGGGACACTTTAGGTGTTAACCTAAGTCCTGACTGAAAATGTGATGGAAAAAACTCTTTCTCATTTTTGATGAAGCATCTGTTCTGAGAAGATGATTTCCATTCTTTTAGTGTAAAAAGTATATTACTTTTCTCAATTGGTGGACGATAAACCAAGGTTTAGGTGCTTTTGCAAGCTTCACCTTGATCAGCTCTTAAACTGTAGGTCTACGATCAAATCTTAAGCTTGCACTTAATAGTCTGCAGTTTCTATTCTATCTAATCTATTCGTTCTCGGTGCAATACGCACAAAATTTTTACGTTTTCTTGAATTTTAGACCACAGAACTATTACTCAAACAAGGCTTGAAATATCAAATCTATACTAAAGTCTGGAAATTCATTCGTTTCACATGAGATATTCGATTCGTCAATTTTAACCTGTTGAAAATGCCTTCAAAATGATCCTGCAGTAGAATTGATTCTTGTTTCATTTCTACAAAATCACTTATAGTTTATAAAGCGGGTTTATCATTGAAAGGGGACGTTAAAGTTAGCTGATTAATGTTATAGCCGGGAAATAATTAATTAATTGAAAAGCAAAGACTGGCAAAACCAGTAAGTCGCATAGACGGTTGAACAGACGAATTAGAATAGTTTAGTGCCGTCTTCCTATAAAATGCTTTTCCATCATTTCATTAAATTCTCTGGTGTGATAATTGGAAATTGGAATTAAAGATGAGTGCTTCAATTATTTGACCGTCTAGATGCATATGTGTAGTTCCGCAAGAGATTACAACCTATTAAATATAAGGTTAGATCAAATTAACCATAGCTAAGGGTATGCAACTCTCTAATTTGGCGGTTTTTAATTTACACTCATGTAAAGGATTATATGAGCAGATACATGAACACATAAAATAAATAAAGGCAAGTCAGTCAGAAAACCGATGTTTACAACGTTTTCATTGTTCAAACTATTATTAATCTTAATATCTTATACTTGAAGTGGGAGTTTTCTTTACTTTGAAATTGCCTGTTTCAACCTAAATAACATTTAATTCTAGCTGTAAAGCACGTAACTTTTCTTATAAAATATTCTAAATTCTAGCAGCATGTAATGTAGGAATGGAGCAATTTGTTGCCAAATGTGCATTGTTTGTCTATGGTAATAGAGTGTAATAGAGTACAAGACTAATACAGTTTATTGGTTCAAATATCCCAAAAACTAAAAAAAATATTTTTTCAAGGTTTATATCTAAAACGGGGTTGTTTTATTTGAGTTTACTATTACCGTTTAAAATACGAAATATCACAATTCTGCCAGTTTTGTAACTATTTGTCCCTATGTTTTACAATTTATATGGTTCAGAGATTATAGTCCATAATATTGAAGGAGCAATCAGTTCCTTATCTGGAAAAGTGAAACAGAAACCAAAAGCTCTGTTTCTGACAGACTATTTATATGATAATATTGTGATTAAAGAGAAATCGATAGATAACATCTTTATTTGTATTTTCTTTCCCCACTTGCCGTCGGCAGTGGTTCAGGGAAAAAGCTTTGTGAGGAGAATTTGGGTTAAGATCGCATTTAGAAAAGCCCGGGATATAGGTGGAAGAATAATAAAAGTTTTATTTCATTCTTGTTAATTTAATTTGCGCGGAACTAAGGGCTTGGAAGTTATTTTAATATTACCTTCGTTTGCATTCAGCAATCTCATTATGAGGCAAAAACGTAGTTTGAACCTTTCGTTTTCAAGCTTTTAATTGAAAAAACTGTATCTTGCAAGAAGTTAAACCACGGAACGAATTCGTGTAAACGGGATTACATGATAACTTTTTCAAGCTGAGTCCTATTCATATAAAAATAACTGCCTGACCCTAACATGAAACAAACCTATTTTATAATAATCGGCATCTGCAAAACACTAACCCAACATGTTACTGGCTGCGGTTTGGAAAATACAGTTTCTTCCTTGGCCGCAAACTGGTGTTGCCAAGATGTAGATCGCAACATCAGTGTTGTAAACTAATAGAGGGTAGATTCAGTGCATATTGGGGATTAGCATTAGGGTATTGAGGCATATTTTATTCATTCTGAATTTTGACAAATTTTCCTATTATTTTTAACATTTGTTAACTTCTTTTTAACAAACTGTGTTTGTTTCACGGTCACAGCTCTTTGGTGTGTTCCATTCGGGTATTTTTTTTTAAGTGGGATCAAATCTGCTTCTGATTATGTATAAAAATGTATCGACACATTTACAATATCTGAAATTCTTCAGCTTGAAAAAATGTCTTTGCAAACACTTTGGACCTTTGCACTTGTAATCATCATCTACTTTAAAGGGTTTTCAATCCCGACATCGTCATGGCATAGGATTCACTATTTGTCTAATTGTGTTCGAACGTATTTAAAGTGCTAGTTAACATTAGACTTAACTAAGCACCTTCAATAATCTGTGGGAAAAAACTCATAACTTAAATATTAAATTTTCACATTTTATGCTTCTTACCGAGAACTTTAGAATTACCAGCAACAACATTGTTTTCAAATATCATTGGCCACAATATTAGTCAATAATGGTGCCAGTTTAATAATCCTGTGGATGGGGATCGCTGATGGATGGATATACCTATTTGCACATAGAGTTTGTAGTAGTACAGAGAATAACATTGGACTATGTAAGCAACTTAATCAGAGATAAGCGTATTTTTGCAAAAATCAACTTAACATTATTGGCTGATATTCCAACCAATATAAAAAACCATTTCATATTCGCGCAGGAAGCCAATCTTTTTGAAACCCAGTGTCTCTCTTTGCCAACTGCCTGCAATATTTTTTGAAGGTTTCTACGTAACAAATTGTGACATCAATTTTTCACTCAATCATCATCACACGTTGAGAAGATTTCCTTCTTTCATTTCAGAACATTTCGGCAACAAGATTGAGAAATGCGGTAACATGCCATTGGCAGTCGATTTCTATGCTAATTTAGAATTCGCAATAGAAGCTTGTTCTTGGTGACAATGTCCAAATTTATTTTTAGATGTCTCGGAAATTTATTCATTCGAGAGAATATCGCAAAACCGAGAGCTCATATACCCCAGAGTCATCAGAATAGTGGCTGGTTTCACATTATGTTTTCATCAAAATAAGTATTAAAAATTAAAAGGTAAAATATTGTTACGTTACGTTTTGAAGATATCGTTCTTGTATTCAAAGCCCTTTTTCATCAAAAACTATTTATAAGAAATACCACAGAAAAAAGACATCACATAAAAATGCAACTTAGTTTCAAATATCGAAGGAAATCATTCATCAAAGCCATGGTTAGTAAAAAGTGTCATCTTTAACACTTCAACTTAATGATTCGAGAAAAATTAGTAAAACAATAACGATAATTTTTTTGATAGAAAATGTTTATTTTTCGAAATTCATAAATATTCCAGTTTTAATTATGAATCTGATTTGGAATGCCCGGGCCTTTAATTTAGATTTTAATTCATATACTTCCAAGTTGCTTTGAATGCTTGAATTAATTAACTAAACATTATAAAGATATCAAATAAAAGCTGGAGATCATTTGCTCTTTTGTATGGCGGCAAAATGTATTTATTTGGGTTTGATTTTTACAAAAATTACCTTTCGTTCATTAATATGTGAATTAATTATTTATTATTATTTGTTATTTATTAATATTTATTTCGAATGGCCAACGTCATGGAGGAAATGACTAGAAAGGCTGATACAGCAAAAACAATAACCCAGACAACTGAACGATTTCAAAAGTTCAAGTGGGGAACATTAAAAATCTAACTTTTCCCTCCTGTCAATCTCCGTAATGGAGCTACTTAAAAATAAGAAAAGTGCAATTCGAAATAAGTAATTAAGCATCACCACTTTTAATGGCTGGAGCAGATAAGCTAGTTAGTCAATTGCCTATTTATTTTAAAAAATAATGTTAAAAAAATAAAACTAAATATGTTGCGGTATTTATTTAAAAATTAACGTTTCAACTAATTGTATTAAAAGCTTTTCTTGTTCCCGTCGCTGATGTTCCCAGATTCTGCTCAAAGTCAAGCATTTAGTAAAAAAAAATTCATACTGTCTTCAAAACAACGCGAACACTTTTATCAGTTTCCAGGAACTGTCCAAAAAAAAATATATTTCAAAGATTTCATTCTGCATCCCTCCACGGAATATGTACTATAACCTGACAGGGCACCATTTGTCTGAAACATCATAAAAGAAAAGCGAGATCAGGTGACAAGTAGTCGAGCAACGTGATCACTTACAAAGAACGCATTTTAATCAGAAGAAAATGCACAAAGCCTGAAGGAAGGCTTTGTAATAATACTCGAATGGCACGGAATTTAAACCAAGCTTTAATGTATTTTCAGATGGACTGCTTCTTAATGGAACAGAAACATCATTTTCAACTGAATATTTCTACAAAATATTGATTAATGACTGAGGGAGTTTTATGTTTATTGAAATGGTACTGGTATGTTGGCTGCGTCATCTACTGCAGTTGTTTGAAGCAAACAAATACATTGCTGCCCCAAAACCATTTGAATACACTGTAACTTGCAGAAAAGACGCGGATTTTGTTAGTTGTTTTCAGGACTTAACATTTACAAAAGTATCTCGGTCCGAATTAATCCATTAGGAAGTCCCGAAAATATTTTGGCTGATGTTCTAGTTATCAACTCATGTTTGTCCTTAAGCATCGTTTACCATCCATTACGCTCATACGTTTATATATCACTTAGTTCTAGTTTCCATTCCAGCGTGTCATAGTGTCAGATCTGAAGCCATTTTTACAAAGAACAAAACGCTTCGAATCGGTTGTCCCAAACATCTCCGTCATGCCTTCAATTAACACCGCTGAATGTTAGACTATAATGACAAAGGCCTCGTTCACTTCAAAGAAATTCTCAATTCGTCTCATTTACACGTTAAATTCCCTTCTTTCACAGTGTCCCTATAAAGTGAAGGACTCCAAATAATTCATCTGTAAGGACATATGTTTGACGCATTGATGCACAGAGCGGCATCAATATAAACGCTCCAAACTACACAGTGTTATCCAGGGCTAAATTGGGGCATTCCTTTACTCAAACGGCAATGAGATTAAGTTCTAACTGACCATAGAAAAAGAACCCATTTGGCATGTGCCTACAAATTACTTAGGGACGAATCAGACTATAACGGACATTTTTTACGCCTATACTTTCGCGTATCAACATTGCATCCTTAAACATGGAACTATTCGTATCGTTATACAACTTTTCCATTTAACACTTACCACTCCGTTGTTGAACTTTCTCACTACACAAGGCAATTTAGCAGTGCCACCAATTTGAGCCACAATTGTCGTTGAATTCGGCGTTAAAAACACTTTGCCAGACTCCACACCTTTAAGCAGGCCATTCGAGGAATAGTCTTTGCTCACATAACTTCTAGGGCCTCTTTGGTGCGTGTGGTACAAATATAAATCTGAAAATAAATAATCCAGAATTATAAAGTGTTTCGTCATTTGAAACATTTGCAGATAAACACGACGAAATCTCAGAGTTTAGGCTGACATTTCTCCAATATCGAGTATCTAATGGATTTAGCCCCAAGTCGCGAGTGTAGTCAGAATGCAGTTTGCCAGTTTTCTCCTCCACGTTCACATTTTCTAGTTGTGCTATTATTTGAGCGCCCAAAAAAACAAATTAATAAAACGTGGTGTTATTGGGACAACCAAATATTCAGCAAACCCACATCAGATTTCTTCAATTTGGTTTAATGGATTTTTATGTTTTTGCTTTTAGCCCATGAGGTCATTTAGCGTTTAGCATCCGTTTGCTTTACTACCTGCTACCGTTTCCACTCGTTAAAGTTTGTTGTAAATTATGTGCTTACGATTAGTAGCTACAGATAATGTTCTGAGAGTACAGACATGGGCAACCGTAAAATCAGGACTTTAAAGCTCAAACCGGGCTTTTTGACCCAGGCATCAAAATTGTTGCAGCTAATATTTCGAGTTTTGAACGCATCTGCAAATGCGTTTATTCTGTAGTGAATTTGTTCAGAGGTTTTATCTTGTTCTGGAAAAAAATGGAGTTCAATTTGCATCTGAATTCTTCCCCACTGCTGTATGTAGCAAAAACTAATAAATCAGAAAATATGTACAAATGATCCATCCAAAATATATAGAAACTTTATTGTCTATCGAGTGTTTTACAATTGTTTAATTACACTCCACAATACTGCCCATATTTCTTAATTGTAAAGCTTTTGAACCTTGAGGCTAAACTTGGTTTTTTGAGATCGTAAAATATGATGTCGCATTTTGTCTTGACTGGCTGAAAATCAGCCAATCAACATTTTTCAAAATTCGTGAAAATGAGTTCCAAATGCATTATGTTTCCCAACACAGCAGTAAAGCTATTAAACTTTTTAAACTAACACTGTTTGCCACAAATGTTCAATTAAATATTCGTATTGAAGACTATTCCATCAAGAGTCACGAATTGCTAAAACCTAATCAACTTGATATCTATGTTTTTGGCACAATAATTACAAAAAAATAAACATAAAAGCTATGTTACGTTTTGAGGTAGCCACAAGATATTCATCAAAATCATACAATATTACGAAGCAGCTGGATGTTGTTATTTAAAAAATTAAAGACAAAAAACTCAATATCTACAGCGAGCTATTATTTCGTATCTTATTTTATTGTTCACATAATGGATAATTTCGATGCCGGCGCGGTTTAAATGCACCTCCGACAATAATAAAACATTTACAGTGTCTGAGTCAATTCCGTAAAAGATCCGAAAGCTAATACTCATTTTTGGGGTTATCAGAAGTTCGCAACCAGGAACCGGAAGACTTATTCCAAATCGTAAAAATAACAGCCAAGTAGACTTTTCAGTGCCAAGTTTATGGTATTTTCCATAAGAAATAAGCCGGAAAAATTGAAGCAGCCCGGAAAGCTGACGCTATGACCTGGTTCCGGTAATGAAAACTTGACTGACTTTATGTGTCCAGGGATAAAATAGCTCGGTATAAAAGTAATGCTGTTTCGAATTCGAATCCATTAAAAGATTTGATTTGTCTCGTATTTTCGCATGGGTAATAATACATTAAAGAAACAGTAAACTTGTTCGTAATAGAAAATGTTCCAATTTTCTGACGAATTTAGAACTTAGATATTTATTTTAAATTAAACTAAACTTGATATTTTTTACGTTACTATTGGCACCGTTGTTTTATAAAATTCTAGATCAAACAATAAAAAAAATTTGACCGAGGAAAATTTTTAAATTTAAAAAGCAATTTGTGATGTACTTACTGTAGCTTTTCGCAGTTTTATTTAATTGAAGGCATCTTCAGAAGCATTATTGCTGACATTAAATCGTACTTAGTTTTTTACTTTCTGTACACTCCATATATATTTAGATAAGTTTTAAATTAATTTAAACGTACTTGTTTATTTACGAGTATTTCAGCTAAGAACAGAATAACAAAAGCCAACAGTAGTGTTACAAATTTGCTTATGATAACAAACTCTGATTATGGGAGGGTGGGAGGAAGTTTCTATAAGGTTCGTTACCACGAGCTTCTAATCAAATCGCATGATCATAATTCGCACGAGTACGATACACCTTCAGTTATATATTAATTAATTCCTAAATCTGTCTACAAAATAATGGCCAACAATCTATTTAATAATTTGAAAGACAGCCTTTCAGCCATAGTCAGGCTAAATATTAGTAAAATAGCAAATAATTATAAGAGATATAATAATAGAATAATGAAAATTATAATGATAATTTTGCTGTGTGTAAAAGACCAGTAAAGTTAGATAAAAGCCATAATTTGCTATTGAATGATGGCGAATCACTTTTTATGTATTAAGATTAATTTATCAAGCACACTTCTTATAATCAAAACTAAGTTACAATTTTTAAAGGGACAAGGATTCAACCTTGCTTACCTTAAATCTGTGCATGCTAAACATTTAAATAACACAGAAAATCGATTAATTCGATGTGGGAGCAAAGAAAAAATGTCCTTCCAACTGACGATTTAAAGTAAATATTTAAGGAGATACTAAAAGCGCACGATTCAGAAACAGGTATTAATTGAGTTGCCTCTTTCGGCCGAATTAGCCCTACAAAATTTCTACCATGGGGTCATTTGTATATGTGTATCATTTTTTAACAGTTTGTTCCTTTGTATCACTCTTTTACGATTTGGCGTATTTATAAACTTACCCAACAGCTTCAAATACTTATTGCATTAATACGAATAGGCACAAATATAACAGCATATAAGTACATGTGGTTAGCAAAGTTTAAGGAACAACTGATATTCAAAGTTAAGTTTGCAAATTTTGTACGGTAAGCTAAGGAACTTTGTTAAAACGAAGGAATTTTATGACCGGAATGCGCAAATATGTTCTATTTTATTGTGATTTTTTGTGATCTCCCAAGAGAGAAAGTGGAAAGATTAGTAAAATAATCAAAGAAAAAATGCAATTTGCCAGTCTATAGATGTTGATTAATTGTTTTGGAGTTTGAGCGGATTTAATTTTGCCCTTACTTACACTCTTTTCGCAAGTTTATACTCACTATTTGATCACAAAATCTCCGAAATCCAAATAATGGAAAACGTGCTTTAGCATGGCAAGCTAGAAGGGCTTCATTACTAATCTTTTTATCTTATCTGTTATGTATGATATGGGGGAGTTTTTAAGATTAACGACATTGCTACCATGATAAGACGATGCGCCACCCCGCATTGTTCTTATTCGATTAAGTGATAAATGCACCCTAGGAAAGAAATGTAATGCATGGGCGGAAAGCATGCTTCTTGCTTATCGGTGTCGGCGTAATGGATTGAAGTATTTTACGTTTTACGATAGACGTGCTTTAAGTAAATTTGCTAGTTTAGTGTGAAAATCGTTTTTATAGATTTGCTCAAATTTATTCAACTCATCGTTAATAATATCAGCTACATTGTACGTGAAATGTGTACGAAACACTGTAAAATACAATGCAAAAGCAGTGCTTTAATGCTTTGCGTTCCAAAAATTCTTATTTGAAGAATTTTGCCAAATCTTCAACAAACAGTGAAAAGGGTAAAAGAATTTTATGTTATTAAAAATATTCAAATCACCCAAAACAGGTTTTATCGTACCGAAGTTTCTTTTGAAAAACGGCATGTGTTAAGTAGAGAACAAATATCCTTAATTCCGTTCGATATTGTCGCTTTTTATGATTCACAAAACATTTTAGTAACAGCTTCTAGGTTTTTGTTTAAGCCGGTCACGCCTTCATTCCACCAGGTTATCAAATTGTATACTATAAATGGATAGGTATAAAAATGGACAAAATTCTATAAAACATTTTGTCAATTATTTTGATGGTAAAATAATGATATACGTTTACACAAATTATAATATACTGGTAAAGGTTTTGGTCCACTAATGTGTTTTTGACGATGTATTTTTTAGTTTTCGAGAAACCTCATGATTGATTTCTTACATATAAATTTTAACATAAACCATACATAAGTTTAAAGCGATATGCGAGCAGCTGAGTGCTATATGAGCAATGAGTTCATTCCCCATATTAACATATTATTTTGTTTCAAGTTGTACAATGTATTCTCGATACTTTTACAATATGAAAATTATTATTTTCTGCCAATCTCTCAGATTGAATTTTGACGTTAATTCATTTGTAACTTATTTTCACTGTTATTTATGTGCCACAGTTATAATTGTGCATGCTCACCATCAGCTGCAATACGGCGTAAGTCGCATGAAACTTCCGTTTAGCAATTTGGTCAAATTCAACTCAAATATACGATACTACCAGTCATATGCTTTAAAAAAATGTTACGTTTTGGTAACTATTTTAAGATGGTTTCGAAAACACGGTTTATCACGAAATGCGAAAATAGGAATCCGCTTTTCATTTTTACTTGAACACCTTCATTAAACTAATTTTAACAACCTTGTTTCACAACAAGTCGGATAATAATGCAAATGTTATACCTTAATTATTCCCATTTTCGACATATGAACTTCACTGCCTTCATAGAGCGCATGAGCTAAATTCAAAGTTTCTGCGAATAGTGCAACAATAAGCAAATCATCTGCTGATCTGCTGATCATTACCTGATCAAGCATATTCTGATATGCTTGATCAGGTAATTAATACATAACCAGGTATTTGGACAATTTATATTTCTTTCTTAACATGACACATTTTTTAATTCTAAAAGTGAGTTGAGTAATTGATTTAACGTTTCTTTACATAATTGAACTGACTATGTTATTAATGATTTCCTTCCATAGCTAAGTAACCGTATTTTCGGAATTTTTTAAGCTTCAAGATTAAGTTATATTTAGATGGTTCGTTGTTTAGCAAATGCTCTGTATAAATATAATTTTTAGTGTTTAACACATTATATTCAGGTGAAATTTCCATTTA